GTGAGACGACGGACATTGTGATAGGATAGAGTATGTACGGGGATTAAAGAGATGAAGAGGTAAAAGTGGAAAATTGTATGAACAGGGGAAGAAGATGGAATTATAAAAAGTAAGAGAAATCAACAGGTCCACAAGAATGCAGTTTACTCTCGACCCCTCTAGCTCAATGCGAGGAGCCCATCGATCGACGCGCCTTTCGCGTCCCTCGCATTTGTCCTCACCGCCCGCACGTGACCCCAATTTCACTACCCGGGCAACCTGCATCAGCTTTGCTCTTCTCCATCTGAGCTATTTGCTATCAGATACATTGCGGCTGAGGGTTATCTCGTCAAAAGTGGCTGTGTTCCACCTTAACCCTTGACCCTCGAAATATTTGTCTTCATTTTACTTCTGATATCACACCGCGCAAACCCTGCTTCGGCTTGCGCCGTGCTCTTGTGACTTTGCCAGCTACTTTTCTTTGACCTTGCCGTTATCGCATTCATCCTCCCATCATGGCGGACGATGAAGCTGAAACTGCCTTCTTCCAGGCTCAAGCCTTGAATACCGATTCCCAATCCCCCACTGAGGAGCAGGAAGGTGATAACTCAGACGCAGAATCAGATGACTACGACCCCTCACTGGCATTGGGGGATCAGTACTCGGCCTCCTTTCCCGAGTCCAAGCAGCCTGATGCCGGCCCCGCTGAAGCATCTCCCTCGGATAAAACCGAAGATGCCATCCCCAACCCGACCGTCACCTCAGACGTAGACGCAAACGGTGGCCAGACCAGTGACTCCCCCGACCCTTCTCAGAACCCCTCACGTGCTATGTCCTCGACCCCCGTGCTAGCATCTGCTGCCGAGGCACAGCCCAAGACCAGAACAATTGGGGGATTTGAAGTTGATGATGATGAGGATGACGAGGGTGATGCGGAGTATGAGCCGCCCGCTGTACTTGGGGGTGAAGATGCCAATGCTATGCCTGTGACCATGTCTGAAGATCCCAGCTCAGGAAATGCAATGCAAAACACTTCCCCTGATGTATCATCATACCAAGCTGAGCAGGGACCTGCCAGTGGACCAGATGTTGCCAATAGTTCTTATTCTCCTGTTCCTGTTCCTAATATTGATCCCTCTTCTGTTCCTGGCCAATCGCACTGGGCTGCGCAAGACTTGCAATCCTCAACCATGCAGAACAGTACTGTTCCTACTTCTGTACCTGATTCCCCAGCCTCAAAGGGTCGTCTGGCCCATGACCGCGTGGGCATGCTGGAAGACCGGATTCGAGAGGATCCCCGAGGTGATATCCCTGCTTGGTTGGAGTTAATTGCCGAGCACAGAGGCCGCAGCAGACTAGACAGCGCACGAGAGACCTATGAGCGGTTCTTGAAGTTGTTCCCCATGGCGGTAAGCCTTCCTTTCTTTGTGCTTTCTTTTTCTCTCTCAGCAAGGTACAAGATTGCTAATGGGATAACTATTAGGCTGACCAATGGGTGGCTTATGCCAGCATGGAGTCTGAGCTCAATGAATTCTTCCGCTTGGAGCAGATCTTCAACCGAACGCTCCTGGCGACCCCCAGCGTTCAGCTCTGGTCTGTCTACCTTGATTACATCCGTCGTCGTAATCCTTTGACAACAGATGAGGCAAGGAAGACCATTTCATCAGCATATGATATGGCCATTCAATATGTTGGGATGGACAAGGATTCCGGAAATATCTGGGTAGACTATATTGAGTTCATTCGTTCTGGGCCAGGTGTCGTTGGTGGATCTGGGTGGCAGGATCAACAAAAGATGGACCTACTGCGAAAGGCCTACCAACGAGCTATTGGCGTGCCGACCCAAGCCGTCAATACTCTCTGGAAGGAGTATGATCAATTCGAGATGAATCTAAACAAGCTCACGGTAAGCTGGATAGTGCTTGAATCCAACTGGCTTATTTTAACACTTTCTATCAGGGCCGCAAATTCCTTCAAGAACATTCGCCATCCTACATGACTGCGCGCAGCTCATACACCGAATTGCAAAACATCACCCGTGATTTGATTCGTACTTCGCTTCCACCGATGCCTCCTGTTCCGGGGTCTGAAGGTGATGTTGAATTCTCAGCACAGGTAGATATCTGGAAGCGCTGGATCGCATGGGAAAAAGAAGATCCTCTGGTATTAAAAGAGGAAGACCCTGCTGCTTACAAGTCACGCGTGGTGTACTTTTACAAACAAGCACTCATGGCACTGACCTTCTTGCCCGAAATGTGGTTTGATGCAGCTGAGTTCTGCTTCTTGAATGACATGGAGGATGCTGGCACCGAGTTCTTGAAGAATGGAATCGATGCAAACCCAGAGAGTTGCCTGCTGACATTCAAACGCGCGGACCGACTGGAGGTTACCTCGGATTCGGAACAGGATTCCGCTAAGCGCGCTGCCAAGGTCCGGGAACCATACGACAAGTTGCTCAATGCACTTTATGACTTGATCAATAAAGCTCGCGACCAGGAAACCCAGGATGTTGCACGCATTGAAGCTTATTTTGCCCCACAAAATGTGGAAAGCCAACCTCAAAATGAGGATGAAGAGGACCCTGAAGCCAAAGAAAGAGAGACCGCCAAGACGGCACAGGTTGATGCGGTCCGGAAGGCCCATTCTGTTCAGATCAATATTATCTCCAAGACTCTCTCGTTCGCATGGATCTCTCTCATGCGTTCGATGCGTCGGATCCAAGGTAAGGGAAAGCCAGGAGAAGTGGCTGGCTCTCGCCAAATCTTTGCCGAAGCCCGGAGGCGAGGTCGAATTACCAGCGATGTTTATATCGCGAGTGCTCTGATGGAGTACCATTGCTACAAAGACCCTGCGGCCACCAAGATCTTCGAGAGGGGTGCGAAATTATTCCCGGAGGATGAGCACTTTGCGCTCGAATACTTGAGGCATCTGCTCGACATCAATGATACCATTAGTAAGTCGACTATCCTATTTTTCTCTGAGAGACTTACTAACCACTACTCAAGATGCCAGAGCCGTGTTCGAAACAACCGTCAGGAAATTGACATCCAACCCGGAGAATGTGCACAAGGCTAAGCCCATATTTTCCTTCCTCCACGAGTATGAATCTCGCTATGGTGACCTCACCCAAGTGATCAACTTGGAGAACCGCATGCGCGAACTATACCCGGAGGATCCTGCTCTGGACCAATTCGCCAATCGTTACTCCGACTCCACCTTTGACCCTACATCGGTGCAACTCATTTTGTCACCATCCCAGACACGGCCAAAGACCAACATGCCAGGAGTCTCCGCGGAATCCCACGGTTCTCCCATGGCCAGATACATGGATACTTCTCTCAATTCACCTAAGAGACCCTACCCCACTGATGATTATGAGGAAGACTCAGGTCGCCCACGAAAATTTGTCCGCGCTGAGTCGCCAATGAAGAGCGCGCAAGCTCGGCGTCTGGACCAGCCGAAACGAGTTCAACAGTTGAACGGCCAAAACACCTCATACAGACCCCAAGGATCTCCAGCTCCTCTCCCCCGTGAAGTGGTGAACCTCTTGAGCATCCTACCTTCTGCGGCTGCCTACAACATCACCCGTCTTTCCCCCGAAAAAACCATAGACCTTCTTCGTCACGTTGAGATTCCTTCCGACCTCTCACAAATACAGATCCCGCAAGCTGCACATGGATCTGGTGGAGGCCAGACCCCCGGAATGAACCCCTACGGTGGCTACCGTTGAGCCTGTAGTAGTTCGTTTCCCTCTGAGGACCACCATTATTCCACTTGCAGTGTAAAATCCCTTGCTCTCTGCTTTTGCAATTTCATTTCCCCGGCGCGCAAAATATCCCAATTTGTCTTTGAGAACTTGATGGCTCAGCTCTTTTTTTCCTGGGGGGGTATTTCATGAAAACATGGTCGGGGCATACGCGGTTCAGAGCCCCCTTTGCATCTTCCATCGGCGTTGATCTATCTGGCATTTTTTTATTATCTTTTTTTTTTTCAAATAGGGCCACACAGGCCACCAATATTTGCTTGCTGGTTGGGTCGCTCCAACCATACTTTGTACAGAGCCAAATAAGCAGATAATCTCACCAATAAATTAGCCAAGCACTCTACGCACTTAATTTGTAGATTCTTGATATCTCGAGAATTAGTTTATTCCGAAGTAAATGAGACTCATGCACTCCTTTGGCCATAGCCCTTATGCCCTTATGGCTGCATCCACAGGGGATAGGACACATGCTCTTAGCTCTTTCTCATCTCTCATTTTTCCGCAGTGAATGCAGCCTTAGTTTTCTTTGCGAACGCAGTCGCATTCCTAAGAAATATAGATGAATACAATCCAACTATATGAGTTTGGGACCAATAGGGTCTGCACTACATGTTATTTATTCCACTAGTTGTATGATCCCTCTGTGACACAACAGCAGGGTTTGGAAACCAACCCGGATTTTCATTCCACAACGTATCGACCCAAATGATGCAAAGGCTTGTCGTGTGCTTGAATCAAACTGTAGAAGCAAGTGAAGCAGTATCGAAGAACTGGGTCAGAGAGCCAAACACTTCCAACTCTACAGCCTCGTCTCCACTGCCAAATCCTACTGGTTCTATATCCTTGCCCAATCAAGACAACTGGAGGCTCTATAAACGACTTTAAAGGTTAAAACTTCCAAGGTTGCTTCCATAGGGGCATATACGGAAACAGTGGGGCCTTCCGTCATTTGAAGACAAAATAGGAAATGTTTAAACATTGCAGAGCTATCCCGTTTGGAGAATGGACTGTTATCAAGCTCTCTGGTTTGAGATACTACCAGACGTGGAGATCCTACCCGGCTGGATTGGTCCTGGGTGTTGATCGACATCCCTGATGGATTGGATGCAGCGGTTTCTATTCTGAAGCAATTCCAACCCATCACACTTGTTGGCGCTAAGATCTGGCGATATGGAGAAAATCGCAAGCACGGCCTCAATTCGAATCCATACACCTGACTATGCATTGGATTGCAGGTCGCGCTCAATGGCACCCAGACTCAATGGGCTCTCGGCCTTTTCGATGGCTTCCCGTCAGGATACTGTTCTTGATGGCAGTCGATCACACACCCATGGGGGTTATCTCTGAGATTTCCATCACAGCAGCTAAATGTAAAGCACTCTGGAAAATCCTCGCGCATTTCATCAGTGTCCACGTCAAATTCATCCCAAATGTCAACATAAAGGTCTTCACCAGTAGGCTCATTTTCCTTATAGATGAGCTTGTTGCGCATACTGGATCGCGGTCTCGCAGTCATACTTGGATGATATCGACAGGCTTTCTCCGTATTGGTCGTGACATCGAATTCCTTCTTGCAATTGATGCAAAGCGCGTAGCGTGGAAATAGTCTCTTATTGCCTCGGAGTTCTCCTTGGTATCGGTGGGTCATCGCTAGCAGTTGATTCTCGGCATCTTTACGGGCTTCGTCGTTTTTCGCGCAGATGGATTTCAGAACCACGCGCAGCGTCTGGGCAGACGCGTCGTTAATCGCGCGATCGAGGATCAAGGCCTCGGGCACTTCCTTTGTGTCTGGCATGATGGTCTAGTTATCTTATGTTGGTGGGGTTGAGTTCGTGGGTTCCAGCTCGGGTAGACCCAATCGCGTGTCTTAATCGGTCCCAGAGAAGACCTGATCTTTTTTATATTCGGAAAGTCCTTTGATTTCCTATCAAAATTATATTGTGAGCAACATGACTTTGAAGAAATTCCATAAGTATCTTTTGTATGGTATCAGAAATTTGCAATTGGGCCAAGCTCATGCTGTCTCCATTCGCTAAACCTTCAATCGTCCGAGTGGTCTGGTGGGTAAGAAGCTCCAGCTCCATAGTCAACAGGTTCATTTAACCAAATCCTAGATAAATTACCAGTTTTCGACAAAGTCAGCCTAACACAAGGCAGATATTTTGCTTTCTTTGGCGTCAAATGCATTGATCCAGGCGACGTCTGCCCCAAGTATAGGACCTTCCATTGACTATTATAGCCTGCCAAAGATTCTTAGATTTCTATTGCAGATATGAGATTTCGAAGACCTAGCTTCTAGCAGCTGCGGAATTGTAGGAATGCATACGAAAAACGCTTGCAAACCGAGCAAAGGCCACTGGAATATATGAAATTTCCATCATTTAATCCCAAGATCAAGTGTGAGAATTGTAAAGGTGGGCCTGACCGGTTGGCACATTGACGAGAGAGGCGCTTTCAACACAAAGAGGAAATTGAATGGCATTCGAGGGGTCATGAACTGTTAGGAGAGGTCTATTAAAAGACATCAAAATGCATGGTTACCTGAGAGATGAGACTGTCGTCAAAGCTAAGTGCCAGACTAGTGAACTCGACATTTGGCACTACCACACAGCACCTCGCCGTCGCACCATACCTCTACCAACTGTGTAGTTCTACGATGGGTGCTTTTTTAGTCATGTCATATCTTGTATCCACCCCCACTGCCACTTCACGTACTAGCTGGACTCTTGCATCCCCGAGCTGTCTTGTAACAATTCGCATGCATTAGTCCCTACCCGGACCCTGGTGTAGTGGACACATTTGCGACCTAACCATTAGATGCAGTATCATTTTGTTTTAATAAATTTTGATTTCGTAATACCAATATATTCATTTGACATGACCATGTGATGTGAAACTGCGACCTGAGTGAGCGTTGGATATCAAAAATACTCAAACCATGTAGAAGATTTATCCATTTCTCACTTTGGTCGCACTTTGGTCGCACTTGATATTTTATGGTCTGCTTCTTGATTGAAGTAGATCATGTCTGCACGGAAGCCATCACAGCCCTCATCGAACCTAAACCGTATGATTTCGTGTATTTTTTTATGGACAGATGGCGAGACAATACCGGACCACAACAACCAAGCAAGGAAACTCTATATAGAATCAAATTGAAGGAGCTAGAAGTATAAGCCCGGGAAACTACTGATATGTGTATCCTCCGTTTGCCGATATATGTCGACAGCTAAACAGACTCAAGCAGCTGACTGTAGAATCAGCCCGTTTACTCCATGTTTTCGTTCGGACTGACTGTTTGCTGTTTGCCCGGGAGGGCATACCATTTCGTCAATTTTATCGAACTCGCTAACTGCCTCGGCTAGAGACTGCTCATCTCATTTCGTCATGCAGAGCACCGTCACCAAGGCGTGGAATTCCCATTTCACAACAAGTTTACCTACATATGGGGTATCATAGTAAAACGTGACAATGTTGTAGACCACTCTTTATACCCAAGATTTATTCAATGAGCACGAGATATGTGACGGCAAGAGTGTATAGTAGATCTAATAGTAAGTTTAACTTGAACATGTCTAGACAACTTGCCGCCGTATAGACTTGGTGAGAATCTAGAGGTTGAACATCGGTATTTTGTTAAGTTTATACGGCGGGCATACGTTACAGACTGTTGACACCCCATGTACCTTCGTATCCCAACTGCAAGTGCGAGATATATCAGCGCTAGGAAGCATAATATTCCTAGGCGGACCCTAAGATTGACATGTAATTCCTCCTCACGTTGGTCGGACTTGAGCGTTAGAAGTACTATGTTGTCTCGAATGACTATTCGTGGATCCGAACTGAAAGTGCGAGAGGTACATGATGTTGCTAGGTGGACCCTAGTATTTGCCTGTCATTTCTCCTCATATAGGTCGGACGTTGACCGTAGTTGCGAATCAACACTATGGATATTATGGAGGGCTTGCTCCTGCCTATATGTGATTGTACCTATGTATCTATGTAGGTGTAATAGCAGTACTAAAAAGGCAACGCACTTCATGGCACCTTCCGTATTCCATACCTCTCTCTGCTTTCCCTATAAAAGGTCTTCCCTCGTATTTTCTTCTTCTTCCTTCTCTCTTCGTCACCTTTGATTTCGCTTGTCTTTAGGACTTCGGATCCCTGCAGTTATCTACATACTCCTACGCTGACAGCCTTTATCATTTTGACGTTAAATGCCTTTTGCTGTGTGATCCCTCCGTATCCTTTTTTTTACGAAATTACCTTTGGCTCAGCCAAGACGTTTGACTCTGTAAGTGATCCTACTTAGACTGCTTGCCCTTCCCCCGGGTTCAAGCGAAGCGGAAACGAACGGTGTCCGCTTCACTTTATATCCACTATATCGCTGAGCAGTGTCAACACTCTACTATCATAACAACCTCAGTTTGTTTTATCTGTTTTATCTGATGATTTCACATATGTCTACTGAACTAAAAGGAAGCGAAAGAAGAAAAAGGAACCCTTTACTAACCAGTGGTGATTAATAGGAGCGTCAGTTCACCATGGCTCCGAAAAAGGCGATGAAGCCCCCAACCGAGGACGATGAGAAGCGTAGGACTCGCTCCGGGAACCGCTCTACAACATCGTCGAAGCCTCAATCGAACCCAACATCTACCGCTGCTACGAAGATTTCATCAAAGCCTCCTCACTCTTCATCCTCGCGTCAACCCAAGCTCAGCCTTGAGCTTCCCCTACGTCCTTCTGCCCCTGTGACAAAGCCTCTGGATCCACGCCAGGTTAAAGAGTTGCGCGACCACAAGGTGAAATTGGAAGACGATGCCAAGCGCAAAAAAGAAGCAGAGAATACTGCTTGGATGCGCCGAGCCCGATATGATCCCAATACGACCGAACAGCGAAAGCCCAAGAGCACTGGGTCTAGTAGCAGTGACTCTCCCATCCGTCGAGTTGAGACACCTCCGGAATTCCCGGCCAACTGGACCACGGAAGAAAAGGCCAACTATGAACGCCTCGCAAGGGAAGGTGTGAAAGTGGCAGTTTTTGAGCAACACAGACTCGACCAAGAAAAGGTTGTCCGACATCAAGACTACATGACAGTTGCCTGGGATGGTTGCAAGAATATTGACATTCCCTGGCACCGATTCAAAGTCAGGCCTTCTTCTGTAAGTTTGAGACTAAGAATTCACACTGACTACACACTTTTGCTGACCATTTTCTTCTTCTAGGCTACCCCAGAAGAGACTCAAATTCAGCACCGTGTTGGCTACAACACTTCCGGCAAAGAGATTGAGGTTATGATGAACGCATACCCGATTATCTCGTTCCCAGAGAAAGCCGTTTATCAGTACGAGGTGAGTACTTTAGTCTCTCATCAATGTTATTATTTGCTCATCAATACTAGATCAATATTCTCCACGGAGACCAAAATGAAACCGACAGACGTGTCCTCAGAAAATGCTGGAACAGTGAGACTCGAAAGACACACATTCCTGATGGTATCTGGGATGGTGGCAGAATCTGCTGGTAAGGATAAGTCTTTCTCCTTGCTACTATATGTTTCCTAATATGTGTTATTTGCAGGTCGCTGCGCAACTTTGATGACTGGAATGAGGTTATTGACATCAAGGGCGACTTGACCCGAGACATCAAGACTCTTGCTACTGTCGATGAGTTCAAAAGAAATCCTGCTTTCAGAATGTCCGTCATTCAAAAGCGAAAGATCAATCTGTCCGTGATCAACTCCTGGCTGCAAAACCGCCGTGACCTGGATGAACTCGTGATCGAATCTTTGAGTAAGTGCCCCATTATTTCATGTATTGCTCTGTTTTGATTCATCAAGCTGATAATGACAGGTTTCCTTGATCATTTGCTCCGTGAATGGCCCACCAAACAGTTTGCTGCAATCAAACGGGCCTTTTTCTTCGACAAGCTTGGAGATGACGAGGAGCTAAAGCAGGAGTTTTACCAGCCGCTCGCCAATATGGGTGCTTCAGTTTACCGAGGTATCTACCAAGCAATTAAGCCGACTCCTGTAAGACCCCATCCATTGATTCAAATTAAAGATTGGAAAACTAACGTTTGCTTATAGCAAGGTCTGATCCTCAATGTTGACGTCGCTCACTGTGTCTTCTTTTCTCGTATCAGTCTTATGGGCTATATGATGAATGTGAACGGGTGGAACGATAAGTCGACTCTGGTGAAGAACCTCCAGTCAACTCGCGACGAATATGGGGGTACAAAGGAATCGAAGTGGTTCGCACAGGTGAACAAGAAGATTCAGGGCCTTCGAGTGGCACCCAACTACGAGGGTTGCCCTTTCAAGATGAAGAGTTTCATTGTCAAGGGACTGATTCATGCAAAGCCAAAAGAATTCTTCATCGACTACTACGACAAGGCCACTGGGAAATCGACTCGAATTCACCTCGAAGAATACTTTATGAAACGGTACAACATCCGCCTTGAATATCCCAATATGCTCTTGGTCGAGATGCAAAAGGAAGATGTCCATTACCCAGCCGAGTTCTTGGTCATCAAAGGACTTCAGAGATACCGCTACAAGCTTACCGATGTACAGGCAGCACAGATGATTCAATGGTGTGCAACCAGACCTCCGAAACGTTTGGCCAATGCTCGCCAGTCCAAGGAGCTTCTCCAGCACAAGAATGATCCAATTCTAAAGCTTTACGGCATGAAGATCAGTGAACAAATGATCAAGACAAAGGCTCGCCTACTTCCGAGCCCCGAGATTCAGTTTGGAGGCAACCGCAAACACAACCCTCAGCATTCGGGAAGTTG